TTACAGATGTGGACCACATTGTCCTACATAGTAACTTGAACCTCTGCAAGGAACTATGAACTAGTCAGAAACATAAAGGTATGTGCATGTGCATTCACATGACAAAAGGTATCAAATTATTTGTGACAATTTATCATTACCCACACTTATAAGACATTTCAATATCAACTTCAATTGAGGGACAATGACTATATCCTATGGAGTATTTTAGGTTTCTATAGGATTGGAAACTTTCCTGCATGAAGGCCAAAGAACCCATTTTTACAAAATATCTTCCCTGGCCTTGTAGTTCTTTCTACTCAGGGTCTGGGTACTGTCCCTCAGATTTTGTAATAAAGGAACAAATGTGATGACAACCTATCAGCATGATTCACAGCACTAATTGTGGGAAATTTCATGATAATTGGCAATAACAGTCTCACAGCCTTTACTACCTAGTTGGCCTTTCAATTGTGATTTTAAACCTCATATTTTTGAGCAACTAAGAATTCTGATGTGAAGCACCAGTGCCCCATTAGATCAGGAGATCTTAACTACTTGATCCAAGCAGGACTCATGGTTTCCACAGAATAGGATATAAAATTCATAACATCATATAGACATATGCAAAGGTCCTTTTGCAATCTCAGTAAAGGTCTGTTTACCTATCATTCTGTAAACCACATCCAAATTCTTCCACAAAATATTTGGAAGAATGCATTGTTTTCACAGATCATATTAGTGGTCCTCAGGTTGAATTCAGAGGCAAAAATTTGTGAGGCTTCCTTTACCTTCTATACCAGATGCCCTTTTTTATCTCTGATTTTTCACCTTAGGGTCTTGTTTCTTTGTCTGGGCCTTTCAACACACTAATTGTAATAATTACATATCACAAGTAGCAAACAAGATAGGCACATATGACCAGATCCATCCTTTTCTTGGCTAAGATACCATATTCATGAAGCTTTTGCATGGGATGGCCTACAAATACTACCTTTGTAATTTCAGCTTCCTGAGTAGCTAAGATTCCACACGAGGGACTGTAATTGCTCATTTTTAATTGCTGATTTTAAACTAAAAGAAGGAAAAGGTATTTTACCAATTCAGTGAGCAGCAAGTCCCTTAAATTTTGAGCTCCAGCAAAAGTATTAGCCAAATGATAATAACAAAAGTGATAAAATCAAAAATAAAATGTTATCATCAGGGCTACTTTGAATGTGGTATGTTGGTTCATGAGTTTTAATGACAGCTATATGACAGGCCTAGGTAGAAGGGACTCTGGTCCATGAACCATCCTTTATCGGAAAGCATCCAGTTTGTAAAAATGGGAGAATGAACTATATCCAAATAGCTGGTGTTTGTGTATGTGTGTGTGTATGGTACAAGTAGAAAGGCCAAGGGCCTCCTAATCCCCCTATTTTTTTCTTCTTTACTAGGCCTCAGTAGATAAGCAGATGGGTGAACAGTGTGAGGGGAGGGGATAAGCTAGCAACCTAGCTAAATCTGGCAATGTGAAGTCCACTGTCCTTATCTTGTAAATGGAATCCTGGCCAGGATTTAAGAATTCTCTTTGAACAATTAAAATTGTTGAAGGTACAGGAAGCCTGAGGTGAAGCACTAAATGAAACCTCTTATTCGCAGAGAGAGATTTCTTCAGAACAGCCCACAGGGCTCATGCTTTGATTCCTAGCTTTTTAGATTCCTAGGAGCTCTCGTTGGCTTCAACTCAGTCCCTGAGTTGAAGACCTCATATTGGCACAAAAACATTTCTTCATGAAAGTGTGAAAATAGAGCCCTTCATGTAACAAAACAGCTGTGGACATATGTAGAATGACTGGCTTATATAGGATATGGAGTCTTGGTCTTGGTTTACTAATTAAGCACTTTCTGATGTAACAGACATTTTTTCTGAATGCCTCATGGATATCTTTAATTACATAACTATACAGTGGCATCTACCTTGGCTCTAGAAATTCTAAATTTAGGTCAACCTTTGTGTTTCTGTAAAAGAAGACAGTACATTTGGAAGATGGAATTATTATGGAAGATGGAATACTGCAGTGTTTATTACACAGCTAGCAGTCTGCAAGCAGCCTGTTGTAACAAGGACTTGCAGTCCACAAACAGACAGCTTGCTAACAGGACAGAAAGGAAAAAAAAAAAAAGAATTAAAAAAACACCAAGAAACCAATCAGCAGGAAAAGAGTGCTGAATTGGCACACTATGATGACCAGAGACAAGCCAGGAGACAGGACACAGGACATGATCACAGAGACATGTACCATAGCATCTAGTGCCACTGCTGGTCCAGCCTAAATAGGGCCTAAGCAGGAGGGAGGTCTACAGGAAATTCCAGTCCCAGTCACTGGACTAAGAGATTGAGTAACATATCAACCAAATTCTCACCCCTGCTTTCAGGGAACCAGCGACACCTATCAGTTGGGTGGCAAGTGATGAAGGGGGTATTCCTTGCCCCTGCATGAAGACAAGATGCCAGACCCCACCATCCACCATGTGCCCAATAGGGCACCAGCCACACCTGACCTCCTTACTTAATATTCTTGAAATATTAAGTCAATTTATAAAATGTTACAGCCTCCTTATAATTTTGTGAACAGTTCAAGAATTAACTTTTGTAAAAGCCATTTTTCGTGAGCCCCACCTCTGAAACAATAATTCTCACATTCACCAAAAATTAAACATTCTTCTTTTGAATAGTTTATTTCTTCCTTCTTCCTCATTCCTTCCCTTCCTCTTTCCCTCTCTCACATCATTCCTTCCTGCCTTCCTTCCTTCCTTCTTTCTTTCCTTCCTTCCTCTCAGGGCCTAGAAGTGATGCTGTAACTCAAGTGGCAGATGGTTTTATTCTTTTGTTAACTTCAATTTTTGTGAGAGGTTGATCAATATCTTTGTGTGCTCAATTATTTCCCCTGATGTACTATCCACTTTGGCCCTCTATGAGATAACACAGGTGCGACACATCATCCACACTGGTGTTTTGTAATAGCTTGCTCAGCAGAACAACTAAATAGGCTAAGAGTGAATCAATCACAAGTTGCTCATCACCAATGATTAATTAAAGAAAAGAGCAAGCACTGAAGACACTTTGGGGTTCTCCCCCAAGGCACAATGCAGATTCTAGTCTTTATTAATCTATCATATTTTTAAATATATATTTTATTGTAAACATACTGTACAGATTGGTTATACCATTATGAGTTAGGTCATGAATACATTTCCTTTTGAGCATTGTTACCCCTATGAGAAAAACTTTACTACTATGTATGTACTGCAATAAGGACTAATATCTTCCTTTAGATCTTCCATTCAAAAACTGAACTGGAATAAGTAAGTCATTTGTACTATAACGCATGGATCACACATACAGAGGGAGAATTAAGGGAGCAGTAGAAATATGGTTGTTCTCATGTTCTTGCCTCCAATCATAACAGTATTTACTCATCTATTGTTCCCATAAGCATGTTGGAGATGATCTGAATCCAGTCCCAAAGGGCTAGAACTCATATTTCTAAGAGGAGTTTACAAATTACCTTGACACACCATTCCTTAGTATAAAAGACACAAGTGAATTATTTCAATTTCTTAATGATTTGTCGAGACTGGTTGTTTCTACATGCTTTGGATAATATTGAAGGACACCATCCACACTCAACATAATGACAAATGTTGGCTCAAAGAGAGCTGAAGAGTGAAGAATGGTTTCCCATCACCCCTAACTTACCTCTGCCATGAAGAATTTCTCTGTATAATTTACAGAGGTTTTCTGACAAAGATTTTCCTACATTGGGTTTCTTTCCTGGGTGAATATTTTAATAATTGCTGAAGGTTGGCTTCTGGTTGAAAGACTTCCTCTCATGTTTATATTTACAGAAATTCTGTCATGTGTCCAGGTCTTTGATACCTGTACAGATAAGACTTCTGGCAAAATGTTTTCTATACTCATAATTTCTCTCCTGTGTATGATCTCACATATGATGAGGACTCAGTTCTGATTGAAAGTCATTTCACATATGTTGTATTCACTACTTTCTTTTCTCCTATGTGAGTCAGTTCTCTCATAAACACTGAGATATTCCTTTCAGGTCAAAGACCTTCCACATTTGTAATATTTTTGAGATTTCTCTGCTGTGTGTTATATGAACTTGGATCTATGAATACTTAGTAAAGGACTATCCACATTTGATATATTTGTATTTTCTCATCTGTGTCTGTTCTCTGATGGAAACTGAGTTAGGACTTTTTCTTGAAAACCTTTCCATATTTTCCTACATATGATTTCTCTCCTCTTTGTGTGTAAGAGTATGTGTCTGTGTTTCTGTGTGTTTTGGGTGTTCTGTGATATACTCTGAGCTGTGTCTTGTAGTTGGAGGACTCCACATCAGCTATATCATAAGGTCTCTATGTTGTATTGGTTCTGTATTGCAATTTCAATTTTCTTACAGATCAAAGACTTTCCCCATTTGGTACAATCCTAAGTTATTTCATTTGTGTGAATCAACTTATGTGTGTTAAGCTGTGAACTCCAGGTCTTTCTACACTGGTTGCATTCATAAGGTTTCTCTCCTTGTGTTCTGTGATGGATGTTAAGGTTTGCCTTCCAGATGAAAGAATTTCCATGCCGACTACATACATAACATTTCTCTCTGGTGGGATTTTTTCTGATGGACAGAAAGGTGTATGTTCTGGGTGAAAGAATTTCCACATAGGTTACATTCATAAAATTTCTCTCCTGTGTGTGCTCTCTGGTGGAAAGTAAGGTGTAGCTTCTAGCTGAAAATCTTTCCACACATATGACATTCATAAGGTTTCTTTCATGTGTGTTTTCTGATGGACAGTGAAGTTTTACTTCCAGGTGAAAGCCTTTCCACAAATGTTACATTAATAAGGTTTCTCTCTTGTGTGTGTTGTCTGGTGGCAAGTAAGGTATGACTTCTTGGTGAAAGACTTTCCATACGTGTTACATTCATAAGGTTTCTCTCCTGTGTGTGTGTTCTCTGGTGGCGAGTAAGCTTTGATTTCTGGATGAAACACTTTCCACACAGGTTACATTCATAAGGTCTCTCTCCTGTGTGTGTTCTGTGGTGGGCAGTAAGGTTACCCTTTTGCATGAAAGATTTTCCACACACATTACATTCATGAAGTTTCTCTCCTGTGTGTATTCTCTGGTGGCTAGTAAGATATGCCTTGCAGGTGAAAGACTTTCCACAAATGTTACATTCAAAAGGACACTCTTTTGTGTGTGTTCTCTGGTGAACAGTAAGCTTTGATTTCTTGGTGAAAGACTTTCCACACACATTACATTCATAAGGTTTCTTTCCCATGTGTGTTATCTGATGGACAGTGAGGGTTGACTTCCAGGTAAAGGACTTTCCACACAAGTTACATTCATAAATTTTCTCTCCTGTGTGTGTTCTCTGGTGGGTAGAAAGATATTCCTTGAGGGTGAAAAACTTTCCACAAATCTTACATTCAAAAGGTTTCTCTTTTGTGTGTGTTCTCTGGTGGACAGTAAGCTTTGATTTCTGGGTGAAACACTTTCCACACAGGTTACATTCATAAGGTCTCTCTCCTGTGTGTGTTCTGTGGTGGACAGTAAGCTTTGATTTCTTGGTAAAAGACTTTCCACACATGTTACATTCATAAGGTTTCTCTCTAGTATGTGTTCTCTGGTGGACAGTAAGGTATGCCATCCTGGCGAAAGACTTTCCACACATGTTACATTCATAAGGTTTCTCTCCTTTGTGTGTTCTCTGGTGGCTAGTAAGATATGCCTTGCAGGTGAAAGATTTTCCACAAATGTTGCATTGAAAAGGTTTTTCTTTTGTGTGTGTTCTCTGGTGGACAGTAAGCTTTGATTTCTTGGTGAAAGACTTTCCACACACATTACATTCATAAGGTTTCTTTCCCATGTGTGTTATCTGATGGACAGTGAGGGTTGACTTCCTGGTAAAGGACTTTCCACACAAGTTACATTCATAAAATTTCTCTCCTGTGTGTGTTCTCTGGTGGGTAGAAAGATATTCCTTGTGGGTGAAAAACTTTCCGCAAATCTTACATTCAAAAGGTTTCTCTTTTGTGTGTGTTCTCTGGTGGACAGTAAGATTTGATTTCTGGGTGAAACACTTTCCACACAGGTTACATTCATAAGGTCTCTCTCCTGTGTGTGTTCTGTGGTGGACAGTAAGCTTTGATTTTTTGGTAAAAGACTTTCCACACATGTTACATTCATAAGGTTTCTCTCCTTTGTGTGTTCTCTGGTGGCTAGTAAGATATGCCTTGCAGGAGAAAGGCATTCCACAAATGTTACATTCAAAAGGTTTCTCTTTTGTGTGTGTTCTCAGGTGAACAGTAAGCTTTGATTTCTGGATGAAATACTTTCCACACACGTTACATTCAAAAGGTTTCTTTCCTGTGTGTGTTATCTGATGGACAATGAGAGTTGACTTCCAGGAGAAAGACTTTCCACCTAAGTTACATTCATAAATTTTCTTTCCAGTGTGTGTTCTCTGGTGTCTAGTAAGATATGCCTTGCAGGTGAAAGATTTTTCACAAATGTTGCATTGAAAATGTTTCTCTTTTGTGTGTGTTCTCTGGTGGACAGTAAGCTTTGATTTCTTGGTGAAAGACTTTCGACACACGTTACATTCATGAGGTTTCTCTCTTGTGTGTGTTCTCTGAGGGACAACAATGTGTGACTTTTCACATTGTTTATATTCTTCAACTACAGAAGACACATGAGGACTATAGGCAGCACACATCTTACCAGGTTCACTGGAAACACCCATTTTCTGACACCCAGTGACCTTTTCTATCCTCATCCCTAAGGAGTTCCCATTATTCTTAATCATTTCTGACTTCTGTATGGAGCTCAAATGAAAACTTTTTATAAGTCTCACTTTTTCCTTCCCTGGGTTACTATTCATGACTGCTACTTCAGAGAGATATTTATTGTGACTTTCCTGACAGGTGCTAATCACATCCTCCATTTCTGGGACATCTAAAATGAATAATAGAAAAATAGACAAAAACATAAATGAATCCCACAAATTCCTTACGATAACGATATTTCCTCACATTTTCTTACTAGATTTTCAAATATCAAAACATTGCTTTATGCAGAACATATACATTTCTCTGCAATGTAGTAATTAAGAAAGTAGTACTGACATTTTACAGTGCAAAATAATGTTTTTCTGTATTTTAGATTATTATATGTTTTCCCAGGAAATATTTCCTGAAATTATTCATCTCCATACTCTTAATGCTTCCATTCTGAATCACCCTCTATGCCCAGCACCACTGATAAGAAATTGTCCCCATCAGAGGATAGCAGCCCTAGCATACTCCTATTTTCCTCCTACCTGCATAATACTAGTTTAAAAGAAAATGAGATCTCCTTTCTACATTTCTTATTCTCTTTTTCTCTTTATGAATGACTTCTCTACAGAAAAAGGGAATTGCTAACACTGCCTACACTGGCACACCAAATTCAGTGTGTCTCCATGTGAATTCTGGATTGACAATTCCTTGAGACAAAGGATCACCTAGTTCTCTGCCACACATGACTCAGAGGCACTAGGAATACTATTGCTCCATACCGCTCAATATAAACAGACCCACTGGGCTCTGGATCCATCATCACCATTCAAGATGCTTTAACCAACCTGTAAAATTCTTGTCTGAGGTTTCTCTTATCCATGGTTCTGCACCTTCCTCCAGCTTCACAATCAATTCAGGTTTAGGAACACAGTGCCCTGTGAATAAGAAATAGTGGAGAACAATTGCTCTTGCTGGGTCATCATTAATGTAAGGTCGCAGACATCCTGTTCACAAGGTTGCTCCTAAATCTGGTTTCTCAATTGTTTTTGTGGTGGGCCATCGAGTTGTGGGGCGTGAACTCTGGGCCTGGGAGCTGTCTCTCTGCTCTTAAGCACAAGTCTAGCACTCTATCACTTGAGCCACAACACCAATTCTAGCTTTATTTCCCTGCTTATGTGGTGCTGAGATATCGAACACAGGGCCTCAAGTATGCAAGGGAATTTGTCTATCCCTGAGCCATCTTCCCAGCCCATGGTTTCTCTATTCTTAATAACTCCATGGTGGAGTTGCCCCCAGCTTTGAGTTTATTGTGGCATTGTGTGGCTTGAACTCAGCTCTTTTGCTCAAAGCTAGCATTCTACTAGTTTGAGTCTTGCCTATGATTCTACTTTTTGAATGGTTAATTGGAGATAAGAGTTTCATGGTCACTTTTCCACAGTTCCTGGCTTCAAACCAAAATCTTCAGATTTCAGCCTCCAGAGTATCTAGAATTCCAATCTTGATGCACTAAACTCTGTGTCAAGTTTGGCTTACAAATACACACTTTCACCTACTGATTTCCAGATCATACTGTCAGTAGTAATGTATATTTTATCTAGACTGTAGATCCACCTATAATAATTACCCCAAGTCTGGGAAGTCAGTCTCCTATTATTGGATCATAGTTTAGAACTTTTGTCCAAAATTGATTAGAAATCTTAAAGACTGAAAATAAAATTAGCTCTTGAGTTACATATAATGAAGTTGAAGTTTCCCTTACAAAGATATGACACTTCCCATGGACTGGAATCTTTTTTAGTGTTTTTTTGTTTGTTTGTTTGTTTTTAGAAAATGTTATGGTTCAAAGGCTTACAACTTTAATCCTTCATTGACGAGATGAGATCTGAAGTGGCAGGCTTGAAACCAACCTGGGCAAGGAAACCCAGAATATACCCCAAAACAGAAGCCAAAATGGAGTTGTGGTTCATGCAGTAGTGCAAAGGCAAACAACACCAAGCTCCCAGACCTCAATTTGGCTGGCTTTTATACTAGCAGTTTTTAGCTGGGAATGGACTGGAATCTTATACCTAGATAACATAAACAGTCAAATGTCTACTAAAATAAAAGCACTTGATCTTCCAAGAAAAAGTGACCTTTGCTCACCCAAGGACATTAGGTTGCTATAGGTCTCCAGCATTACATCTCTGTGAAGGGTCCGCTGACCAGGATCCAGATCCTGCCACTCCTTCCATGTGAAGTACACAGCCACATCATCAAATGACATCAGCTTCTGTAATGGCACATTTCCATCAAGAAATTAGACCTAGGTCATGAGAATTCCAATCAGGAATTTCATTATGCTGCAGGTATGCTTTTGTCTTACATTAAATGTTTGCAGCTTGCTGTGTTATCTATTCACTGGGAAAATTAAATAGCAAATTAGAAATATTCGACAATATATAAACCTGGTCATTAAAACACACAGATTGGCAGGGCACTGGTGGCTTATCCTCCTAGCTATTGAGGAGGCTGAGGTCTGAGGATCTAGGTTCAAGGCCAGCCCAGGCAGGAAAGTCCATGAGACACTTATCTCCAATAAACCACCAGAAAACTGAAAGTAGCACTGTCACTCAAGTGGTAGAGCACTCACTTTGACCTGAAGAGCTGAGGGACAAGAACCAGGCCCAGAATTCAAGCCCCAAGACCAATAAAAAATTACAGTTTCCCTATTGCATGCAAACACATTTCTGCTGCTAGCAATAGAGACAAGATAAAAACTCTAAGGAGACAATAATCTGGCATGACAACAATAAGTCTAAGGAGGTGTCTGAAAAATTATATTATCATTTTTTGATAAAATTTTAGTACATATAAGGGTAACAATGAATTAAACAAATATTTTTACTGCATTTACATATACTGCTTCACCCTAAATCCTATTTTGACTTTCTATTAACAGGTACTCTCATAAGCAAGCAGAACACATTCAGGATATGACATGAAATACAGAACATAGAATATTACTAGACCTATGAGAAGCAGTGTCCACATGAATATTCAAAAATACTAACAGTACTCCAGAAAGTAGCTAATGATTTATTTTGCCCATATATGATTTAATTGAGTTCACACATAAAAATACCCTAGGTTAACCATGTTTGGTTTAAATACTAAATATTGAAAAGTGGTCACAGATACCCTGATATTTCCATCCTATGTAAAAAAGAACTGCTACCATGAAGTTTTGTAAACTTTGCCTACATTCTACAATACAAAATATATGTGGAAGGGGAATACAATATTCTTTACAATATTTTCATTTTAATAGACTTCATGGAAGGTGGAGGAAAATATATAGAAGCTCAAGGAATACTAAATATGACAAAAATGATGAATATGAACAAATGCTCCAATGTGTCACATATTTCTGAGTCATTTCTCCAGTAGATCCCTAAGGATATATTTCCACTTGTGTTAGTTAATCGCAAAATTTCTCAGAGATCCAAATCAATTCCTGAGAAATCATCCGTGAGATTTTGCAACAAGTGATATTTCTAATAAAGAACACCTTGTCTCTGTATTTTTTTTTTTTATCAAAACCAGTTCCTATCATATACTGGCAGTGAATTAAAATATTCAAAAGTAGTGGGAAGGAAAGACAAAACAAATACCACATCAAATGAAGTTAGACCAAAGATAACCGAATCAGGAGAAAACTGATTTTCTTGTAGTGTATAAGTTGGGCGAAGGAAATACTTTTCTGTGGGGAACTCTGAAGTTGAGCTGAAGGGGGAAAAGGTTTGAGAGGTTGGAATTCCAGCCTGACCGCAATGAGAACATTGAGAGCTGGCCACAGAAGGGTTAAAAGAGAATTCTGGAGAGGGTTAAGAGACTGGAGGGCAGGCCTTTTCCTTACTGTTGGAAAGATAGAAAGATAGCATCTGAAACTGAGCTGCTGTTCACCTTCAAGGCTAGGTAAGGTGAACTTCATGTAGGCATTTTATCTGGGAGCCAGTCTTCTGTCTCAGGAGATTAGGAAACATGTTTTCCTCACAACCTGTTGTGGCTCTGATTGTACTACTAAAATAGATACTTCATT